CACACCATCACCCAGGAGTGAAGACACAGGCACCTTGTCTCAATGGAGTCCAGAAGAAGGAGGAGACTCTAGACTCTTTTCCTGCCTCCCTACTAAAACGAATTTTTGTTTGAAGACCTACCTTTACTACCAGGGCTCTACACAAATTATGCCTTCTCCAGAGATGGCGAACTTCTGGAAGGCTTTCACTAAAAGGCTTGTCATCACACAACCCAACAGTCCTATATTCTTATAAGAGACAAACATGCACGCAGATGGGGTGCATGAGGGTTCATCTCACCATAGGAGGCGATCACAAGAGTCTGGCTGAGAGATGATTGTGAGGACTGACTGACGGCAAAGAGTATGGTAATGGAGTGGGAGGTGGGGTAGGGAACAGTAGGTCAGGTAGCAGACACATCTGGAATGGATTAAAGTTCATCATGGTGGGTGGTCAGTAGTGACCACTAGGGGTCTGACTCAGGCACCTGGGCAGATGGGGATGTATTTATTGAGTTGGGAGTCAAAGGAGCAGTTGGAGGCAATTCGAGGGAGAATAATAACTTCAGTTTAGCATCTTTTGGACTTAGAGATGCCTGTGGAACATTCAAGTGAGAACATTCCAGCGGCTGCCTGATTGGAGTTTTCTTTCATTCAAAATCACAAGAGAACAGAATTATAAGAGAAGCAACATCCTGGCAGGGCTGTTGTTTCCCTCTTTGGCCCCTCTGCTGGGCTTTCTCCAGATTCTTGCCCTCAGGCAAGAGCTGGCCAGCACAGTGGTCGCCAGGGCTCCCAGAGCAAGCTCTTAACACAGCAGGGCCCTTCAGATGTTTGGTAGCTGACAATCCCAGGCCCACCACCTGCCAGCATCTGTTCACAGAGACACAGCATCACAGACTCTTCAGACCGGAAGGGACATTTGAGGTCAGCCCCTCCAGCCTCAAGGTTGGCATTTTCAGACCATTCTGATAAGTGTTTCTGTTTCTATTGTGCTGAAAGCTGTTTTCTTCTGACTTTCTCTTAATATGTTGTTAAAAACATGATCTATCTGTGGTCTTCCTGCTTCAGTAGAAGCATGCTGGGTCCCCTTTTTGTGGCTCTAGCAGTGAGGGACACAGCGAGGCCAGATTTGGGAAGACAAGTTCTTTTTGTCCTTCATACTACAGCTACGAGAATGGTCTCCATGGTGATGGCAGCTTCTCAGAAGTGTCTAGATTTTCATTTTCTGTATTTCCCTAAATGTCTAAATTATAAATAATCTGTTTAGGTAAACTGCTGGAAAGTTTCCACATGTATATGAATATAAAGAAATATATACTTATATGTATTTTTAAAAATAGGCTGATGGGCATTTTTTTGGTACATGGTTTTTTTCTCAACCCTCCCCTACACCAAAAGAAAAAAAAAAAAGAAGTGATTTAAAATTTTCCAAGTTAAACAAGACTCAATAAAAGAAACATTACTATCATGTTCTTCAAAGGCATGTGAGCCATGGAGGGGATGGAGCTAACCTAATTATGTTTTCTTTAATGTGAAATAGCTATTTGCCTGACATCCTATTTGCATCTCACCATCACATCCAAATGGCCAGGACATTGATTTTTTTTTCTAGGGCTCCCTTTGAACATAAAAGTGTTTTTTTTTTTTTACCTTTTTTCCCCCCGCCCTTTGCAAGAGCAGTGATAAGAATGAATGGATAATTACATTGTTGGATAAAAATGAATATAAATTTTATTGAAAAACACCACCAGCAACAATGTGGGGAAAAGCATACAGCTCCACAGCCACTGGCCCATACAACTCAATGCACACGTTATGAAAAGTAATCACATCTTAAAATTTCCAGTTACTTGAAATGAAAAGAAATGATAGAACTCAGATAAACTAATGTGGGACACAGATGCACACCGCCTTTGAAAACTTTGCGAACAGCAAGCCATGTGGCCGCACCATTAACCCTGTGTTTGCTGTGGGTGAACCAGTGCATTCCAAGGATTAACTGGTTTGGAGAGAACTTAGTCCTTCTGGTTAGCGAGGCATCTCAAATCCCAGACCACTGGGAACACTTTGCTACTTTTCAAGTCCTTTGAGAAGAGGATTTCATAAACTTTTCTTGGCAACTTGTCCCTCCTGCTTAACAACAGGAAATAGCTCTTTTTATCTAGCCTAAATCCTTCATGCTTCAGTTAATCTATTTATTTCCTTTTAATCTTAGCAGGCTGTGAGGAGCTTGTCCTGGAAGTAAAATGTAACATATGGGGGAGTCACAATCATCATAATCAGATTGGAAACGGAGCCTAGCTGTGCTGGTGGGGCTTCTGAAACAAGCTGAAAAGAAGTTAATTGCAGTTGTGGTGGTAAGCCCTCTGACCCTCACCTCCCGTTGCCCTCTGCAACGATCGGCCTGTGAGTGGAGGCTGCGGTGCTAGGACTTGTCAGTCTTTGGGGGGACAAAGCTCTCCAAGTTTGATCAATTTCAATCCTTCATTGGTAATGAGTGTCCAATCTGTCCCATCCGGTCATGTACAACGTTTCTAGGCAAAAGACTCCTAGTTCCTACCACATTCCGTGTCTTCTCACGATGCCAGGCAGTCCCCAAGGCTCCCTTCACAGTTCGAGCGGGGCAAAGCTGTGCTCCTTGTACGCATGAGGAAGCATTGAGAAGTGTGGCCGTGTGGCCATGAGAAGCACCTAGTGAATTTAGCATAAACAACTCAACAGCGTTTTTCAAGTTCTGCGTAAAAACCTGGTGGGTCATAGGTCTGGCCCCGCCGAAGTTCCCAGATCTTCCGCACTTTGGACACCAGGGGGCGCCCGTGCCATTCCACCGGCGCCATGGACCCGTCGACAGGGAAACAAAGATGAGATTTAAATAAAAAGACTTCAAAATGCGGCCCCGAATTTCTACCCTAAGCAGCGTGCATGTAAAAATTCATGAAGATTGGATTTCATTTCATGTATTTTTACTTCAGTAGAAAGAAATGCAGGTGATTTTCTGCTGTGCCTACAGCTGTCTTTACAAATGGGGTGCCTAGTTAAACCACGCGGAGGGGCCCGCTGATGCTCTGAGAAGGCGGGCCTGTCTCTGGTTCTCGGGACACCTCCTTTTTTTCTGGGTGGCATCCTCTGCACTACATGCATTGATTAATTTCATTGTTTTTTAAAGGACGCATGGCGCTCTCAGCAGCAATAGTGGTGATGTCCCCCCCGTGGCAGCCAGCTCTGGGTCCAATGAGTGACAAGTCATGGAAGGCACTATCTTGATGAAACACAGCAAATTTCTTTCAGCCCATGAAAACCAAAGGTGTGAGAAAAGGCTGCTTGGACGGTGTTTCCCTGTGGTGCTGCACACGGTCTGCCTGTCCAGCCTTTGAGCATTTCAGGCGTGAGTGACATGGTGAGAGCCACCTGGGTGGCAGAGCCCGTCAGAGGGCGCTGGGCATGGGCCAAGACAGCTCAGCCTGCCACCGGATGCGCCTTTTGGGCTTCTGTTCCCAGCTAGTCAGACAATGGGTACTGCTGGGACCTGGCTCTGGGCCAGATCCATCATGTGTGCCTGGAGACCTTTGGAATGGAGACTGCAGGGGGATGATAGGCTGGTATGTCAGGAGCCTGAAACTTTGGATAGGCCCTGGTGCTAAGAATGGCAGCAGTCCGGCAGTCCTCCTCCTCCTAGCTCCGGGATGGAAGGACCTGGGCCCACTTGCTTCACCCGTGCAGCGCCCACATCCAGCACAATGGGCGGTGCTTATTAAATGCCCACGAACATTTACTGAATATACAAATGTGAGGATGACACACTGGAGGAGTCTCTGAGGAGGCTTTGGGGATCTCTGGGGGTCCTGGCTGTACCTGTGCCTGGGGGCATTGGGAATTGTCATGTGGAGAGGACTGAGGCAGTGCTGATACTCTGGGGGGTGGCCACAGTGATGGGAGGGGCCGCTGAGCTGGAGAAGCCATGGGATCATCAGGGATCACCCTGAGGTCTATCTATGTGCAGGGATGGTGTTCCAACCGCCTTGTGGGCCTCTCTCCATCCTTTCTCTCCACTGCCCTTGCTGAAACCAACCATTCTGTTGTTTCCATGGCAACACTGGCCCCAGGCTCTGCTGTGGGTCAGCTGGGCAGTGAGGCCTTCTCAGGTCTGAGAAAGCAAGGGGCCCTGAACTGCCTCCACTGAAAGGTGAGATTCTGGGGGTCTCCCTCTTTAGAGAAAGGGAGGAAGGGAGATGGGATAGGGATTTCCCTCAGGGACAAGCACAAAACTGCTCCCAAGACAGACTGAGGTGGCCCCAGCAGTAGCTTTGCTGGTAGGGACTCTTTGGGAGCAGGGAAGAGCCCACATGCACTGCTCATGCCTGACCTCCCTACCCATGCTCTCTGTAAAGGGCATAGGAAGGGTCCTGAGGCAAAGCTTGAAGGGCTGTCCCCCCTCCTTTGACAGAGTTGCTTGGCAGATTTACTCCTCTAACGAGCACAGAATCCAAAGTTTTAGTCCCTTAGACTCAGGTTTCAGGCCTGCTAAAGGTGTCCCTCCATCCCTGGCCCTCACCTGGGATTCTCACGAGTGTGTACTGGCTGCTCTCTACTTTGGAATTTGACTGCTAACCAGAAGGCTGGCGGTTCAAACCCACCAGCCACTCCTGGGAAGGAAGGTTGGGCAATCTACTTCCATAGTGATACCACCTCGGAGACCCAAGCAGGGGTCACTATGAGTTGGGTCTGACTCGGCAGTGCGTTGCATTTTTTGTACCCTCCCCACCCCCTTTCCTGGTGCCATTTTCCTAGCTCTAAGTGGGGTGATCAGCCTCCAGCCAGTGGGGAGTCTGGGAGTAGCCTCTCCACAGCTTTTTTTTCTAGCGCTCTTGAAGAAGAAGAAGAGGCTGAAGAAGAGGCTAATTCGAAGGTAGTAGGAATGGGGAAGATAGACAGGTCTGGGAAAAGATGACAGCTCAATATTCCCTGGGGACCAGGAGTTGGAGAGAAAGGCGTGAGGTGACTAGAAAGGGGCTGAATGACAAGGATGACTCAGCCTCGCAAATCCTGTCCCTCTCAGCAGAGAGGAGAATTCTGAGAATTCTCACACCATCATGTGAAAAGCATTCGGCCTGGGATTTGCATTCCCACATCAACCCAATAACAACAACAACATCCATACAAGAAGAGGCACCTGGTCAGTGGCTACAGTTTACAATACCTTGGATTTACATAGCACCTTTTTCTTTTAAAGGGCCTTGGCCTCTGTCCCGCCAGTCATTGCTAAAATTTCTGTGCACAGCTCCTGCCACAGAGGAAAGAGACTGAGGCAGAGGCCTAGAAGTGATTTCATGCAGACTCAGATGTATCCAGGGCTCTTTGCACTTCCCTGGGGTCCTCCCTGGGCAGGCCTGGCCTTGGCTCTCTAGGAGGGTGTGGCAGGGGCTGGGGGACGAGAGTGTAGCCCTTCACTGGGCATTCACTTTGTATTTGAGGATGTAGGAGTAGAAGTTGTGGTTGGCGTTCTCCAGCACCATGACGTAGACTTCTTGGCAGCCTGCTGTGCTGCAGCTGCCCTCCCAGTAGCCCTCGTTGTTCAGGGTCAGGGGCCATGTGTCCTGCCCCTTCACCAGGGCCTTGGCGATACCGGGTAGCTTCAATTTGAACGGGATGTTCCGGTTGGCAGGAAGCACGCCGGACAGAGGCTCCAGCAGCTCATTGTCATGCCCCCAGTTGCCGAAGCTCTCGGGGAACATGGGCCAGTTCACCTTGGTGTTGGTGCAGCACAGGAGGTAATTGAAGACAAAGATGTAGTTGCCCACTTCCTGCCTCTTCTTGACAAAGATCTTGAGGGCAAATTTGCCGGCGTGGGGCAGCTGGACTTTCAGCTCTGTCCTCTTCTCCTGGTGCAGCTGGAAGATGTAGCGCCGTTGTGTCTCCTCAGTGATGGGGCCATCATCGCCATGCAGGGAGGCCAGGACGCTGATGCCCTCGTCCACGCCGAAGCTGATGGAGCAGCGCCCATCAGTGGTATGGATGATGGGGTCAGGGTGCGAGGGCTTTATGATTCCCATCTTCTCTGAGAACCAGCTGGGGCCCACGGGCTGGTGCAGCTCACTGGGCAGCTGGGCCCCGAAGTCCACATAGTTGCACTTGAGGGTGTACTCCAGCACTGAGCTGTAAATGTCGGAGTTGCCTTTGGCGAAGATCTGCAGCTTGTGGGTGCCCGTGGATGGAGGGTATACTTCCAGCTTCATCCCATTCTCTCTGAGACTCAGTAGCCCATGCTCCTGTTTGCCATTGAGCATAAACATGAAGAGCGTGGGGGCACAGCTCTCAATGGTGACCGTGGCCTTCCCGTTCACTGTGGGGAGAAGGCCAGGGCCAGATGAAACATGTCCAAGAGTGTTTGTAAACATTTAACTGCCTTTCTCAAACCCTGATTTGTAATGTGTAGTGCTACGCCCATTTCTATGGTGTAAATACTTCCACCATGATGCATTTTAAGCGACCCCTGACATCTGCAGCACACCACTGGAAGGGGCTCTTGGATCCCCTTTAGGTGGTTCTCTTCCCGAGATCTGGAGACAGGGCTCAGACCGGAAAAAACATGCTTCCAGCTGTATGAGCACATCCACCCACTGATTCACACTAGATGAAAGCTGCCTAGAGGCTCAGCCTGTCCAGAGCCCCTAGGGAATAGGGTCAAGGGGCTTATTATCTGGGCTCCTCAGGTCTTGCTTTCACATTGTTCCTTCTAGCATCTGTTCATTAGAGTGTCAACAGCTGCCATGTCAACATTTTACCTTAAAAACTTGCTGGAGTGACTTCACTTCTGGAAACAGTGTTCAGGGGAGGATCACTTTCCTGCTCCCTGCCTCTCCCTGAACCCCTAATTCTTACATAGGTGTGTCCTAGCCATGTTTCTGGAATGACTGTGAAGACTCAGGGCCCACACAGGACTCTCTTGCACCAACCCTCCTTCTCCCTCTCCCCTTGCCCTGCTGCGTTGCCTTCCTTTATCCTCATCACTGTTTCTCAGGGACATGTGGTCAGGTCCCTGGGTTTTGCAGTCCATGAGCACTCACCCACCTGGTCCTTCCTTCTTTCTCACAGGACTACGAGGAGGGGCAGTGGCTCCCCTGAGAGCCCCTCCTTATCTCTCCCTTGGAGGGTGATTCATCCCCTGCCCTAGCCCCAACCAGTCTCCCCAGCCTCGTACATGGACAAGAGCAAAGGAAGGAGACAACTGTCTGGTCCATGTGCACCAGTAACCTTCCCCCAATCTGGCCTCAGATGCTTTTGCTGGAGGGAGACAGACAGCCATGCCTGGACTCTAGGGTAGTGTCCATGAGACCGTCCATCTAGTCTACCATGAAGCCTCTGACTCCAGGCTTCTCAGCTCCTCCATTCAATGCCAACTCCCAACTCGGGGCATAGAGAAACCCCACCTGGGCCAGCAGGACAGGGACGGGAGCTCATAATAGCCCTCTACCTCCCTTCTTCACAGGGATCCCTGCATCTCCAAACCTTCCCTATCAACTCTTCACTCAACTTATATCCCAAACTACTCAAATGAGTGACCCCTCCCCACTATCTCTATTTCTTCTTCACTAAACTAAAATAAAAAAAATTAAGTCGATTCTGACTCCCATATGTCAGAGTACAGCTGTGCTCTGTAGGGTTTTCAAGAACTTTTTTTTTTTTTTTTTTTTTTTTAGAATTAGATCTCCAGACTCCTCTGGGTAAATGTGAACCTCCAATTTTTCACTTAGCAGCCAAGTGCGTTAACCGTTTGCTCTATGCAGGGACTCCATCCACCCACCAGCTTTCTGAAATCTGGCCTCTGCCCCCACTCTCCCAAGTCTTCAGTGACTTCCTAAATAACCAGGTCTCCCAGAACTTGACAGAGCTCTGGTGGTGTGGTGCTTAAGTCATGTGACTGCTAACCAGAGGCTGGTGGTTCAGGAGGATCCACAGTGCTGGCCATGCCTTCCTGCGTCCATGACCCTCTCTAGCCTGCTCCCCACCTCTCTGATCACACCATCTGCTTTCCACTGCCACTCATCTTCTGTCTGTTACATTAACTGTGGGGGTTCCTCGTGCTTTAATGCTGTTTTCTTTGTCTACATTCCCCATTGCCTTCAGTCACTTTGTGGCACATTTGTCCCACAGTTATCTCAAAGGAACGTGACCAAGAACAGTAGGCTTGTTATTCTCTCTTGGTTGAAACTTCCCTCACCCCTCACTTCCTGTTCTAACTCAGCACCTTGCTTCCTCACAGCTGCTGTTCTGCTCCATCCTGCACCGGCACTGGTTATGAGCAGGTCTCTCTCCCACACACCGAGGTCCAGATGACCATGTGATTCATATCAGGGGCATGGATCACCACCCAGAACCTGCACATAGCAGCTTGAGGGCTCCTGTGAAAAGGCCCACTGGGTCATATTCCTGTTCTGTGGCACACACCAAACTGGAGATCACGGGGAAGCCTGTCCCCTCCTTTCTCACCAGCATCAGTGTCCTCACTCTTGGGGCCACAGGGAATTCTTTCAGATATTTCAGGGCCACCCACTAGGCCTCAGGTTACTCACACACTCTGCTCCCTCTTTTCCAAATGCTTTTCCCTTCTCATCTTTTCCCTGCAATCCTGGGTAAGGCTTCAACTTAAACCTTCTGACAACAAAGAAGCCTTTCACAATTTTCTCAGAAGAGGCTGAGATCTATGGAAGCCCTTCTCCTAGTCCCTGGATCTTCCTGTTGAGGGAAATTACCACTGTTGTGAAGGAGCTCTGGTGTTGTAGAGGTTAAGGCATTTGGCTGCTAACCAAAAGGTTGGTGGTGCCAAATCCACCAGGTGTCCCATGGAAGAAGAGGAGGCAGTCTACTTCCGTAAAGATTTATAGCCTTGGAAGCCCAGTGGGGTCACTATGAGTTGGAATCGACTTGTTGGCAGTGAGTTTGGTTTTGGTTTTATCACCATTGTGATTAATCATGTGGCCCTTTTTTTGTAATGTCTGTCTTTCCTGTTGGGCTGTGGGCTCTGTGGGGACTGGGCTGGGCTTGTCTCATTTCTTGTCATGTCTAGTGGCTGGCCATGGTGCCTGGCCCAGAAGGTTTCTTAGCAAAGGTGTGTTGAATGACAGGAAGAAGTGAGATAAAGGACTGGCACCCTCTTGGTATCCCTTGTAGGAGCCCCTTGGCCTCTCCCCCTTCCCAGCCTCCTTGGCTCACTCTCCCTGCTCTCAGTGGCTTTCTGCCTCCCTGCTCTGGGTCTTCTTCCTTCTTTTCCTTTTGCCCACTTCAGTTTCCCTCTTTTGCTTCCTCCTCTGCCCCACCCTTAACCTAATTAGCTACTAAAAATAAATAGCCTTTAAATATGTATTACAAATATGGCATCAACTTGTATGTTACTATAAATTAAGAAATCTGGTGTTTACATGTTTGTTTCTTGAAGAGGCCCACTCAGCTCAATGGCATTTGTTTTATGTTGGTGTGGCCTGGTGACACTTTCCTGTGTTTGGATGACCCACAACAAACAGAACAGGTTCTCCATCTGATGTGCACGCAGAAAACAGATTCTTAAAGTGAGCAACCCCAGGCTGTTATTTTACCAGCAGGAGCTGCCAGGTATTTGTGGTTTTAAAAAGTACGCAAGAGCTTAGCAACTTGGTTAAGGAAAACACTGTGAGGTGGATGAGCCAAGTCAGCTGGAACTAACTTGGGGCCAATTGCGCTCTCTGGCTGCCCCCTCACTGTGCAGTGTACATTGAGGCTTCCATAGGCCCCCTGTACTAACAGCCTATGTGAACTCAGGGCTTCTGTCCTGGATGGAAAGAGGCCCGCGGGTGGCAGAGATGGTGCAGACAGGCAGTCCTTTGCTGAGGTGTTGCCCTGCTGCTCAGCCCAGGTTGTGTGCCCAACCCTGGACCAGAAGTTGGGGCTCTGGGGATGCATAAGACCTCTGGAGAAAGCTCCAGAAGACACATGACTGCTGTCCTGGGTCCCTGGGGCTGGTCTCCCCATATATCTCAGAGTGTGCAGCCCCACCCTGATGTCCGTGGATGGCTCCACTGGGGAAGTGAGCGCTGGGAACAAATGTCAGTCCAGGTCAGCTATGAAGGACAGCTAAACTTGGTGCTCTGCACTGTTCAGCTCCAAGGGAAGCTACCTGGGAAAGGCTGGATTCTGCCTCCAGGAGGGAAGAAGGGAGGTAGAGCAGAGAGGGCTCCAGGGACTCTGACAGCCAGCTTGTACCCCATCTGAACTTGGAAGGCTCTTCTCCAGAGCAGTGAGGGAGGGGTGCTGAGGAGGCCAACGGCTCCCTCTGCAGACCCAGCCCTTGTCTAGTGGTGCTGAAACTCGAATGTTGGGGCTCCTCTCCCCTGTTCTCTCTGCCGGGAACATGTCCATCCTTACCTACCCGTTATGTCTACCCTTCTCCATCTCCCAGGATGCAGGTCAGGCAGCTCCCTCAGGAAGCCTCCACCACCCTGTAAGGTACAACTGACCCCACTGTCCTGGGAGACCCCTGCCTCCTTGACTAGCTGGTTAGATCACAAAGGCACAGATACTGGCTCTGCTGGGTTGATATACACTCTCTGCCAGGAGTTTGGGAGGAGAGCATGCAGGCTAGTCAGCTTCTGCTGGGCACCTGAATTGGGAGGGTGTGTGGAGCCAGGGCTGCAGTCCTTTTTTCTGCTGGGTGAGCTGAGAGAGTCACCATCCAGGTCTGGCCCCCATGACAGACCAGGCTGTATGTCTTGCCTTCGGGTGCTAGTGAAACCTGCAGCCATCCAGTGTATCCCCTTCTTGGCTTACACTGGTGTGAGAGGGCTTCTGGTCCTGCAAATTGGCCTGTGCATGCATCCTGCCCCGACGGCCTGGTAATTGCACAGCCATCTGCACATATGGGCCTTACACTGTGGTCACACTGGCAGGGCCAGTCTTGTGTGGGCCCAGACTCCTAGAGGCATAGAGTAGGCTGCACTGTCCCTGCTGCCTGCTCCAGCCACCTGCTCCAGCGTTACCTGTTCTGATCATGGAGGTCTCCGGGTAGGCACTCAGCATCCCCTTGTTGTAGAATTCACTCTTGTGATACATACTGTTCTCAAACTGCCTCAGAGACTGAGGAGGCTTCAGCAGTTGCCAGTTCTTATTGTCTGGGAAATGGTCCTCGATGAATAGTGCAGGGTGGGTAAGGAAGTAGAATTCATTGTAGCTAGAGTGGAGGAAACGCTGGTGAGTAGCCATGTGGGGTTAGCAGCTGTTGCAGAAAGCAGGCATGACCACCCCTCACCAACTCTGCAGAGGGTGGCTTCCTTTTGGCTAACACACCCAGAGGAGGTCTCGCCAACACCCCCAAAAGGAAGAGGCACCATCTCCGATCTTTGGTGGATGCTCCACAAAGAGGCACCAAGGTAGGGTCTCAGACCCCTTCTAAGAGAAGGCCACAGCCTTCATTTGTGAGCACTCCAAGCATCAGAGAGTGCCAGGTGGGGAAAATGGGCTCTCCCTGCTCTCAAAGCCAAACAGAATATAAAGGGAGCAAAGGTGTAACTTGGGGACCATGTGTAAGGCAGTGGAACTGCAAGACAGCAGGGAGGGAAATTGGTCAAGTTCACTCTCTCCATGCACACCCCCACCCCATCTCCTCTCTTGCCTGCAGCTTGGCGGTTGGGAGGACTTCTGTGGTCCTTTGGAAGTTAGTGATGGGGGTCAAGAACAAGAATGGCAGGCTTATTCTGAGTGGGGTGATGCCTCACTCCACTGAAGGCAAGTGGTGTTCAGAGCTCACAGAGGGACAGGAGTGTGTCTATGAGTCCATAAACCCAGCATGTATGACTGTGTGCACTAGGCAAGTACTTGGTGTGTGTTGAGGGAGTGTTGAGATTTAAACTTCAAGATTTAAATGTTAGGGGGAACACTCTAATTTTTTCTGAGTGAAAAGGAATCTGAACTGTTGATGGACACTGTGGTCCATGATGAATGCTGTAACCTTAGGTTAAGACTGGGGTTGGCCAGAGCCTTGGAGGACAGAAACGCCCTAGCTGATTCCCGGCAAACCCAGCTACCATGCCCCCTGTGGCTCACAGTGACTCTGCCCCACAGACAGCTCTCTTCCCACAAAGCCAATACCCTTTTCTCAGAGATGGGATATGGCCTCATTCAACCTAGACAGGAGGACACTGGGCTCAGGGAGCCACGGAGAGAATTCTAGCATCAAGCACAGTTAACAGTCACTGGGCCAAAGGCCTGAGGGGAACCTGCAGATAATTAAAGAAGCACTCAGCCCTGCCTTCCTTACATCTGGCCTGTGGGTAAACGCTGGAGGCTTTCAGTGCTTTGGTGGAAGAAGCTATGGGGGGCAGGGCAGAGGGGATTTAGTCAATGGAGAGTGAGGTGACAAAAGGCTCTGGGTCCTCCATAAGCCTGCTGAACAAGCCATGTCTGTAAGAGGGTCTCTAGTAGCCCATTGAGAGCCACCCCATCTCTCCCACGGCCTCCACCCCCTTGCCACCTTGCCTTCTTCAGCCTCACACCTCCCCCATTTCCACTGACCAGATGCCCAGCAGAATTGAGACTGGTACTTACAGGAAGGTGAATTTGGAGGTGCTCTTGTCTACTAGGCCACTGCCCCAGGTGCTGTCCACCAGGTGCCACCTCCCCTCCAGGAACACAGCATTCCAGGCATGGTCGAATTCTCCAGAGAAGCTCTGGCCTATTTGGTAGCCAAAGCCCTTGGAGTAGCCAGGCACCGTCATGCACTGCACTCCAGCGATCCTGAAGTGGGGGGAAGAGGGCCTAAGAAGTGGCTCCACTGGGGCCAGCCTCCCATTATTCTGCATGTTGTCCCAGGCCTCAGGCATGTGTGCTGTCCGTCAGTCTGCCTGTGTCTCTCCTTCTTCCCGCCTCTCACATGCTCAGATATATACAGCCTTAAAGGCTTTTATCCTCAGGGACTTGGGGCTCAGGGGCTGCAATGCTGCCTGGTCCTGCCCTGTGCAGAATGGCTGCAGTCCCCATGATCTGCTCCTCCCTTGAGACTGTACAACTCATTTCTGAAATGCTTCTCTCCAGAGCTTGCCTGTCATGCTCTGTGAATAGCTCTTCAAGAGGATAACGGGGACACAACGGTGAGGATCACCTCAAGAATATGGAACCAAGGAAATAATGATGTTCTTCAACACAACTTGCGTATAAGGTTGAGAACAACTGTTGCAGGTACTGGAGCAACTATAAATCTGTAAGTATGTGATTGAAGAGTTGAGTCTAGGTGATATGGGTGGGTGTCACAGAAGGGTGCTGGGAAGGAGAAAACTGAGCCCCACTTTCTGCTCTATGTACTGCTCAAGGATAGTATGGGAACAGAAAGAGGTGTTTTGTCTGCGTGGAACCTAGGCACAAGAGGAGACCCCAGAGACAGGCAAGTCAGGGTCTCCAGCCCACATCAGGGCCACCACAGTGCATATCCCAGGCATTAAGGTCATTCACTGACTGCCCTTGCCATGGTGTTGGGGACTCCAGTAGCTGTCCCGCAGGAAGCAGAAATGCTGAGCCATCAACCTGACTTTTAGCATTCCCTTAAGAGTATGTTCCCCCACTATTCACTAATAAGTGACATCACTTTCCCGGAGTCTAAACAGTGGGAGGAGGCATGAGTCACCTCTGGGGATCATATAAAACTGCGTGTTTGTAGCTGTAATCCAGAGGCCCAGACCTGTACTGTCGACATGGCCCCAAGGCCAAAGCACAGGTGTCAAACGTGGTCCACTCCAAGTAGCCTAGGGTATCCAGTGAGTGGCCCAGGGTCTCCTTCTGAGAGTCTTTTCGCCTCAGCAGCCCTGCCTCCCCTTTCAGGGTGGTTGGTTACACATGGTAGCTGAGGAGGACTGACTGTGTGGACAGTTCTATAGTTAGTCTGACCTAGGGATACTCCATGCTAACCCTACTGGAGCCGTTGTGTGAACTGGAAAAAGGCATCCCTTCCTCAAGACACTTTTATTTCACTTGTGGAAAACTGTTATAATAAATGAACACAATTGTGTTATTTAGGGTGCCTGTGCTGCTGCCTGACCCTGCACAGTGCAGACCCTGTGCTTAGCTCAGATGAAATCCTGTTCTGTCTCACAGAGGCTGTTCTCTGGTGCTCAGGCCTGGTCTCCATAGACCTCATTGGCCATTTCATTTGCCCTAAACATGGGGCCATGGAGCCTGTCAGGGTAATGAGGTGAAACGGCTATACATTTTACTAGAGCACTTGAGAAGAATTTTCCTTATAACAGTAAGATTTAATTAAAAACAATCAGAATGTTGGGTCAAATATGATTCATCTAGATCCACCTTTCATTTGGAGAGTGAGTGAGGCAGAATGTGGTGTCCTGCAATGAACAGATTCTAACTTCCCTGCCATCAGGTGCTACTTAATGTGCACATAATGACTACACGGGACCACGTCTGCCTGAACTTCCTATACCTGCAGAGTCAGGCCACTCATGCTGACATTCCTGCCTGTGGCTTCACGAAAGGCCCAGACTCCCGGGCTCTTTAAGGAATCCCATCAGAACATACCAGCTGGGCCCTGTGGGAAGGATTTTGGGAACACTGGGGAAAGGGGCAGAGAGCAAGAGAAACTAGACTCTGAGGTTAGGATTTTCTGCTGGAAAAGGCTAAAAATGACTTCCAGGAGTAGAAAGGGCAGCCCAGAGGTAGGAGGCCCAGAAGGCAGTGGGCCGAGGAACCTGTGGGAGGACAGGAAGGCCAGCATGCATATTTGGGTTTACATGGTCCTTGCTTCACTTGGTGTCCCCGGACAGTGCAACACTTAGCCCACTTGGCTGCTAAGTGAAAGGTTGAAGTTCAAGTCCACCCAGGAGTGCCTTGAAAGAAAGGCCTGATGATCTACTTCTGAAAAAGGAGTCACTGAAAACCCTATGGACTGTAGTTCTACTCTGACACACTAGAATTGCCATGAGTCAGAATTGACTTGGATACTGTTGGTTGGGCTTTTTTGGAATGGTTTGCCTCACTTAGCAGCAATGGCAGAGCAGGGTGCTGGGCTGTGCTGGAGAGGGTGCGGGGTCGAAGGGTTTTTTTCCTCAGGCTGGAGAGACTCAAACTTATTTATAGCTTAAAGAAAACAGGCAGCAGACAATGGAATCGTGTTTTCAATAGGTGGTAACATCCATATACTCAGAGATTGGATGAGGACAAGAGAGTTGTGAATAATATTTTAGTGAAGTAAAAAATGCTCCCCATACAATGTTAATTGGAAAGAACATAGAAAATGCTCTAATTGGTAAGATGTCTGTCTGCGTGGATGTATATGTATGTGCAAGCACGCAGAATGAGACGGGGAAGGAGAGAGTGAGAGAAAGGGGTAAGGTGAAAGTCATCAATGTACGCTGATCTCTTAGTAATGGGATTATGGCGATTTTAATTTTCTTCTTTAAACTTCTCTATATCTTCTAAAATCTTAATAATGGTTATGAATTGGAAAATATCCATTAAAAACTACTTAAAATTACATTCTTCAGTGAATTATTTTTCTTTCTTTCCTAGCACGCCTGTTCATATCAATTCCTAGTGTGATGTGGAGGATAAGGGGAGTCCTGGGAACAACGGCGTTTCAAGAATGGCCCTTTTTACATTCAGGTGAACTGACTGAGTGGAGCAGTGGATCTCTGGATATACTGCCAGCTGATGCATGTTCTCTGCTCAGGGCCACCTGGGGTCAGGAAGGAAGGGGGTTTGAGTGAAATGGAGCAGGCCCTGAAGTGGGCAGAGGTGCTGGTCAAATTCTGCTTGAGAGAAGTGGGTGTTCTCACTGAGTGTGCAGGGTGGGGAGTGAGATGAAGTGGAGGTAAGAGCTGAAGAACCAAGTGGGGAGAGGAGTGAGAAGTCCCTTGATCCCTGAGAAGGACTGGAGAAGAAAGAAAGTGAAAAGCAGGATGTCCACCTGGAGGGCTCCGGGCTGGAGTGGTTGGAAGATGGGCTGAGCCAGTGCATCAAGGCTCTCTGGTCCCAGCTCTAAGGACCACCTCTGGTGTGACTTTGCCAGGCTCAATGTGGGCCAAGCAGAAGACTGGCATGGACTGATCTCTAGAGGTTGAGTCCCTAGTAATATGCTGATGAGAAGCTGGGGTGGGGGGATGGTGCATAGGGAGTGCCTGAGTCAGAGCAGAGATGAAGAATCAACTCAGCTGGAAGCTTGTGCTGTGCTTGCTGTGATATGAGGGAATGTTATTACCTGGCAGTGATGTGCAAGATTCATTGGACAAAGAAAGTCATAATGTCCAATGACACATTATTGTTAATAACCCATACTTCTCATGCAAAATAAAGTAATTCATATATATGAGATAATGCCTGTGGTACTGGTAGGTGTTTTGTGTCCAGCAGCTGGTTGCTAGTCAGGATGCCTCATGATCATTTCATTTCATTAAAAGGTCACTGTATGCAGCACTGTGTACAAAGCACTGTACCAGGCACAAGGGAGTATGACACGATGTGATACAGTATGATAGTTAAATATAATAGCCCCAGAGTAAGCCACATTCGCTGCCCTCCGGGTGCTCATAGTCCAGAACAGAGTGGATCCCTGAAGCCTGCCTAAGATGCCTTTGCTACGAGGGCACGAGCCCAGACAAGGAAGAATTAATGTTGCCTGCAGACACTGGGAAGGCACTGATGAAAGCAGAAGACAAGAAACATTTCCATCTCCAGGAATCCCTGGGTCTTCATAAAACTATGAGCCAAAAGGTTGGTTGGTGGTTCGAGTCTACCCAGAGGTGCCTGTAGGAAAGGCCTGGCAATCTACTTCTGAAAGATCACAGCCATTGAAACCCATATGGAGTGCAGTTTGGCTGTGACACACATGGGGCTGCCAGGAGTTGGGACTAGAAAATAATTTTTTTTTTTTAAGATCTTTGATATATTTTAAAGATATTTGCCCAAAATATCACCCAAGGAGATTTATTTATGACCTCAGGCTGCAAGTATCTTGGCTTTTACTTTCGACAGTTCTGACAATCCTAGTCGTCACCTCCACACCTTGTGGCTGGTGTGTGTATTGCAAGCCACAAAGAGAAAACATGGCAAAAAACGCCCTGAGCAATGTCTCCCTGGAGAACATGAGGGAAGCCACAGCCCCCTCCCAGTAGGTGTCAGGGCACAAGGACCCAACCAGAAAAGCCCTGAGGGGAGGAGTTTCCAAGGTGCACACATCACCACCAGATGTGGCCTGATGGAGAGGGACGGAACAGAGGTGCAGTAATGCCGAGGCTTTCCTTAGTGACCCTGAAGGTGCTGTGGCTGCTGTGAATATATTAATTAGCCTTATTATTTAAAAACTTAATTGTGTGATTCTGATTATAATTTGGTGCTATGAATCCTCAGGTATTAAGTGAGTAGGGAGGTGGAGCAAGACTGTGGCTGCTAACAAAAAGGTCAGCAATTTGAACCCACCAGCTGCTCCACAGAAGAAAGATGAGGCTGTCTGCTTGCGTAAAGATTACAGCCTTGGAAACCGTACGGGGCTGTTCTACTCTGTCCAATAGTGTTGCTATGAGTCAGAATCAACCTGATGGCAGTGGGTTGAACACATCTGGGGAAGGAGCCATGGTGGCACAGTGGCCAAAGTGCTTAGCTGCGAACCAAAAGGTTGGTGGTTTGAACCCATCAGTGGCTTTATGGGAGAAAGATGAGGCAGTCTGCTTCCATAAAGATTTACAGCCTTGGAAACCTGATGTGGCACTTCTACTCTATGCCATAGGGTCGCTATA